TTTTGGATAGGTTAAGTTATGAGCAGTAGGACTTTTGATAACCTTCCTTTCCAGCCCTGAAGTTCTCTGATTCAGTGAGAGAACTAAGGATTCTGTCTTCTTATTTCTCTCTCTCTCTCTCTTCTCATATTTGTAAACTCGCAGGTTTGCTGGTTCCGTTGTTGTTATGTAAAAATTTGAGATATAAATTGATAAAGTGTTTGGAATTTATAATGATGATGGGTACCTTTTCTGGCCCTTAAGGATGATAAGGAAGAAAATAAACTAGTGAGTTGTTTAGTTGTCACTTATTTAGCCTATTTAGGTGTCTGTCACTGAAATCGGTATCATAAAATTTCAAAAAAATCTTGCCTTGGTGTTAAAATCAGGAAGGCCAAAGAAGACCTGTACACATGTGTTGCATTGATGCACCACTTTTTTTAGGAGGGAAATAAAGTAGCAAATGAACTCAGGTTTGGTATAAAATTCAAAAGGTGAAATGCAGCTGCGTATTACGAACTTTTATTGGGTTGGCCAAAACGTTCGTTCGGGTTTAGGTGAAACTAAAAGACACATTTTTAACTTTCACGAAGAACTGTTGAACAACGTATTCACTAACCGAATGAACGTTTTGGGCAACCCAATAGTTTGGTGAAAGGATTAATAATATTTAATCATATATAAGCCTATGGAACGTAGGCTTAAGTCCCTTCTGGGAAATGTAGACCACTCTGGACACTTACACATTGCCCAGAAATTCACAGCAATTCACTCACAGTCGCACATTTACCTGGATCTAGGTAGCCTCTCTGAAAACAAGCTTGATAATTATAATATAAATGGAATATTAACTTACAGATTATCTTGTTTTCCCCTCCAGCAGCAACTTTAATTGATTCTTATTCTTTTTGTCTGTCACTTTCTCCCTATACATGAACACCTGTACGTACAGTTAATCAACTGTCAAAAATTACATTTTTAAATAGTCCAGCAACCAAGAAGCTTTATTTGCCTGATCATTAGTATCTAACACCAAAGATAAATTTTACTCTTGCTAACCCTTAGGGAAGGCTGGGCAAGAAGTTCCTATGTTGAAGCAGGATCATCAGAATTTATATATAAATGTATATATATATGTATATATGTATAATATATATAATAGAACATATATAGAATATATATGGAATACAGAAGACTAAACCTCAAACTGTATTGAAAATACTTTCTAAAGCACTGCAATGTCTCTGGCCTCTGGAAGGCTGTTATATCCCTCAAATTTAGTTTCTTATATGGAAAATAAATGTTATTCTTGACATGGTTATTTCTCCCGCCAGTTTATTCTCAGGGTGTCCACTCAGAGAAGATGTTTAGAAAGTTGCTTCTCTTTTTCCCTTGTGTCTCCCATCATTTCTCTTAAAATAATAAAATAAAAACAACTCTACGTAGCCTTTAAAATAAATATTTCCCACATTTTTCCAACACATGTTATTTCAATTCGTAATTCTTAACTAAATTTAGGTTTTTATTAATCCAACGTGACCTAAAATTTCTGCGTTAACAGCACAATGTGGAATTGGGCTTACTCTCTTTGGCTCCGGATAAAGCCATCATCTTGAAAATGGCTCTTTCTGACAAAAAGGTGTTCTTTTGAAATAAAGTCTTATTCACTACATTCCTCTTAGAGTTAATGTGAATTTTAGTGCCTCTAATTTTAGGTTGAAGTGAAGTCTAGAATAAAACCCACCAGCTGACAATTGAATTTATAGATAGTTGTGAATATCTCAGGCTTCAATAATAGAGCTGTAGAATTTCAGAGACAGAGAGGGGGAGAATTAAGACCCACTGTAGTTTTAGGGTATAATGTAATGGTATCTAGGAAACGTTCAGTGTAATGAGCTAAGCAGTAATTAGGAGACAGCTGTGTTCTTTCAGAGTCTGTTTTGGTGTCACTCCGGACCCTGGGGAGGGTGACTCAACAGGGTAGCCTTGTAGCCAGCGTGGTGGCTTCTTCAGCCACTTTTCCACTCATGGGTGAGTGTGAATGTCATAGAGCCTCTGTGTGTGCCAGCACTACCCCCCTTTGCTTGGCTATTTAAAAAACATCAGTGAACACCTTGAAAAACTCTCTGTTGGCTTCAGGACATTTCCGCACTGGACTTTGGAGTCAGCCCTGAGTTGAAATCCCGACTCTTCCACTTCCAAACTGTATGACTTTCAGGAAATTGTTTGATGTCTGAGGCTCTGTTTCCTAAAGAGTAATACCTCCCTCGTAAGGTTGTCTTGGGGATTAAATGAGGTAATATTTGTAAAGTACTCAGGTCAATGCCTGACATGTAGTAAGCACCTGATAAATGGCAACTCTCTTATTATTTCCACTGGGCAAAAAGGTATTCATTACGGAAGCAGTTCATGTCTGAGAAGAAACATGTAAAACCTACAGCACTGATCCAGCATGTTCACTTTCCTTTACAGCTACAATGGCCAGACTTGTGTAGGAGAAGAGATTGCCCCTGTCCAGAGGCTTCCCTGACCACTTGAACTTCCTGAATTTTCTTGCTTCCATCCAGATTATTGCAAAGTTAGGGGCTGAGAATTTCGAGGAGACAGCTGGCTGGAGACACCCAATTTTTCAAAGACCTTAACAACATGCATTGGACACATAAACATTTGGTGACTTTGCAAATAACCCTTCCATAAATAGGAGGGTGATTCCTCGCCTTGTTTCTCAGTCAAGAGTTCTGCACATTTTAGAAGTCCATGAGAAAAAGCCCGAGGGAAAGAAAATTGGGATAAAACTGAACAGAGACAATCCAAGAAAAGAGAGAGAGAGAAAAGAGGGCCCAGGGAAAGGGTGGTCAGTTTTGTGATCAAGCAGCTCAGAGCAACTCTCCTTGGGAAAAAGAAAAACTGATTAAGAAATGGTGCCTCGCAGGCAGATGGCGAAAGGGTTAATTGTCATGGCTGTGAGAAGTTCAGTGCCAGAGAGAGGAAAGGGGAGCAACTGTGTTTTAGTACCCTAATAACTTCTAACTGTAGTCTAAGATCATAATGTATGTGCGAGCAGTCCAGTAATTATAAGGTAATAAGTGAAGTGGTAGAGTAAGTGCTTTAAATTAAAAGGACTTTGCAGGGCTGCTGTAAGTCAGTGCCGACCCGCTTTCTTTCAAACGTTGACTTGAGGAAAAGTGCTTAGCCCAGGGTGCAAGCTGGGAGACAAGGAGAGCGATCTATTAATTACAGAGCTCATTAACAGTGACGGGACAAGGCAGCAGATGCGGGAGGGAGCGGACGCCTGGTTCAGGCTGGAGGGGGATATTTTTTCTTTCACTAGCTCTTGAGGAAAGGACAACCCAAGTGGGTGGGCGAAAGCAAGAAGATATTTTTGTGGATTTCTCCTTCCTGTTTGCTCTCTTCACATCCTGAGTTTGCTTTACTTTAGAAAGCAGCACAGAACTTCCGATGGGAAATCTGCTAGGTAAGAGGCAAACTCTTGCTCTGGACGCTTTGCTCTTGAGACCGCCTTCTCGGAACCGTTCAGTGAACATTCCCTGATAGGAAATAACCATATTTTTCTTCGTTTGAAAGTAGCAGAACAGTGGGGGAAGGGGGCACCCGGAGGAGAGCATGAAATTTGTGATAAAATATCATTAGATTTATAGTGAAAGAGATAATTGCATCCCTTCGGTTATCCTGTGACTACTCCCCCAAATTCGAGTGAATGACCATTACCCTGTGGGATTCCCATAAATCAACTTTCCACCGGGAAGCAATTATCTAAGTTTGTTTCTCAACTGTCACCTCTTCCTTCTATAGTGGGCTCTCAGAAGGTTCCTAGAGACTTGGCTAAAAGGGGTTTTGCACTATGGCGAACCAGAAAGAAAATGGGACCAATTATATCTTTTCATCTAATTACCTCTTCAGAAATTTAATCACCTACGGGTCTGACAAAGTAAGAGGGGCAGTCTGTTTCTTCTAGATAAGAGAGAGAGTTTGTTAGATTAGATGCTTCATCATATTTCCTTTTAGGAGGTATGATGTTAAAAGACCAAAGGAAGGGGAGAAAAAGAGACCATCGCAAATCTCATTTTTTCAGGGCAAAATTTGATACATCCTTACTTTGCTGAATATGAAGTATCAGGTTTATGGATTCACAGGTATACTGAAGGCTCAAATGGCTTTTAGTGATTCCTCTCCAACAGTGGCAAATTGCACATGCAGACACGGACACCTGTAAACACATGTACATGTTTATTAATCAGTGCTGGTGATCATTTCACTGTTTTGTGGGCTCTAGGAAATAATCCTTAAATATTGGCTAGCATTTTATCCTTGATGTCTTTCTGTATCGCTAAATGTCTAGGAAATAGAGCAATTTAATTAAAGAGGCAACGTGATTGAGGATATATTCCCTGTGTGTCTTAGATCAATAAAAGACACAGTTATGCTTATAGAAGCGTGCTGACAAACAGTAATTACAGAGCTGAGGAATCATCTGTTCGGCCTTGACAATAAAAGTTTAGTTCTGCTCATAATAAAATGACTGCAACATCAGAAAATGGAAGAGAAAAGTAGAGTGAGGATAAGGGTAACTTTAGAAGTGATATGGACTTTACAAATTACTCCTCTTCCATGGATAAATTTAGAATCTAGAGAGTTGATTTAGATACTGACAGTGGCTCTCCAAGAGAAAGGTACAATGAAAGGAACTGGATCAGTTAGAGCTTTTGTTTATGGCCTGTCTGGGCACTTTGATGTAACCCTGTCACGCCCTTATGCTGATTACCTTGTTGTAGAACAAGAGATATTGACTAGAGAATGATGTGTAGTCCTTAGTTCTTAGGCAGCACTCTCAAAGAGCAATGTCTTTAACGTATGAATTCTTCTCTTTTTTTTTTTCTCCTTTCGATCTTTTTTTGCACTTTCTCTATTTTTTCACCTTCTCTTTGTTTCTACCTATTTTGGTATCTCTGTTTGACACTCTCTCCTCTTTTTCTCTCTGTTTGCACCTCCCTAAACCTCAGGCTTCTCTGCAGAATGTCAAACAAAGATCGACACATTGATTCCAGCTGTTCGTCCTTCATCAAGACGGAACCCTCCAGCCCGGCCTCCCTGACGGACAGTGTCAACCACCACAGCCCAGGTGGCTCTTCAGACGCCAGCGGGAGCTACAGTTCAACCATGAATGGCCATCAGAACGGACTTGACTCGCCACCTCTCTACCCTTCTGCTCCTATCCTAGGAGGTAGTGGGCCTGTCCGGAAACTGTACGATGACTGCTCCAGCACCATTGTTGAAGACCCCCAGACCAAGTGCGAATACATGCTCAACTCGATGCCCAAGAGACTGTGTTTAGTGTGCGGTGACATCGCGTCTGGGTACCACTATGGGGTAGCATCCTGTGAAGCCTGCAAGGCATTCTTCAAGAGGACAATTCAAGGTGAGTGAGGGTTGCACCTGGCGATACCCACCCTCCTCCAGCCTCATGTGATGGTTGGTTGGTTGGTTTTCGTGGTTCTGGTCCTTGTTAGTCAAGTTGTGCATTTTTTTTTTTTTTTTTTTTGCGGTACGCGGACCTCTCACTGTTGTGGCCTCTCCCGTCGCGGAGCACAGGCTCCGGACGCACAGGCTCAGTGGCCATGGCTCACGGGACCAGCCGCTCCGCGGCATGTGGGATCTTCCCAGACCGGGGCACGAACCCGTGTGCCCTGCATCGGCAGGCAGACTCCCAACCACGGCACCACCAGGGAAGCCCAAGTTGTGCATTCTTAATTCTATCCTGAGTACAAAATAGAAATAGGTTAAAATTGATAGTGGAGGATTTGTAGAATAGACTCCACCCCCCCACCCCCATATGTTCTCTATCAATTCCACGTTTACTATCAAGCTCTAAAGATGGAATGATAATAAGCTTTGGGTGGCGTTTAAAAGAGCACAGCTGTTATTAGAGCAGTGGGGGTCTGGATAGCAACTGAACCGATGGGTACTGGATAAATAGTGCTTTTACCTCTTCTGTTCTTCGTATGGCTAAAATGATAAATATTTTAGACCAGTGGTTTTCAAACTAGAGTGTGCATCAAACCCGCCTGGAGAGCTTGTGAAAATGCAGATCACCCACTCCCAGAGCTTCTGATTCATTACATCTGTCTCAGGTAGGGGGTCTGAGAATTTATATTTCTAACAAATTTTCAGATGATGCCGATGTTGCTGGTCCAGGAACTACACTTTTGAGAATCACTTCTCTAAACAAATTTAATTTTCTACGCCCTTCCTTCTTTTCCTGTGGTTGGATGTACTTTCCCCACCTTTTTAATAAATGTGTATGAAAAAGCTTCCAAACTGTACCAAAATATAAAATATGCCTCCAACATATGTAAGACATACCCAAACCTTTATAGATCTCCAGATTTATAAATAACAATATTATTTCCCACCGAAAAATGTAGAAAAACATGACTAAAATTTGTATGTGACCCTTTAATAGGAATCCACAAATACAAAACTCAGCTCCTTTTCAAAGCTATAGATAATTACAGAAAATTATTTTTCACTTGTTTAGATCCTTTGTGATACACTTTTGAAGAAAATAGAGGAAGGAAAGAATCATTGTTTATTGAGGATCCCCAGCACACCAGTGATTCTATTCTGCTCTGCTCCGTGGTTTACAAAGTGTATCTTCTGGGAATGTCCTGGCGGTCCAGTGGTTAGGACTCCACGCTTTCACTGCTGAGGGCCCGGGTTCACTCTCTAGTCGGGGAACTGAGATTCCACAAACCACGTAGCATGGCCAAAACAAAAATACCCAAAATGTATCTTCTTAACCAGTTATAGAGATAAGTGCGTTTTCCCTCATGTCAGTGGTTCTCAGCCTGGCAGGCTCACTGGAGTCACCTGGAGACATAAAAAAGAAATACTGATGCCTAGGCTCATACCCCCAAATTCAGAATTAATTGGCCTTGGGTGCAGCCAGGGCAAGCGGGGATTTATGAAAGCTTCCTAGTTAATGCTTCATCTAAAGCCGAGGTTAAGAACCACTGCACCCTACCGTGCTGTGTTCTGTGACAGTGCTTCTGAAGGTGTGGCCGCTATCAGTATCACCAGGGAATTTGTTAGAAATGCAGATTCCCATCCTTCATCCCAGATTACCTCCGTCAGAATCCCTGGGGGAGGGCCCAGCAATTTGTGCTTTGCCAAGCCCTCCAGGTAACTCTGATGCTCACCCGAGTTTGAGAACCACAGCTCTGTTACCGTGTCGCTGCTGATTTACCGCTGACAACTCTTCTTTGTCATCTACTGGTCCCTTGTTGGACATAACTGAAATCAGTTTAATAATTGTGTGACACGCTTACTGGCTTTTAAAGTGCAAAGGGGATGATGTGTGTTAAACTCTACTCCTTCTAAATGTTTTAACAAAAGGTGATTCTGAACCCCTTAATGAGCACAGAGAGTAATCTTCTACCCTTTCCTTTTAAGAGCATGTGGGCGGGCAAGTCTTTTCACCCAGTAGCACTGAAGATCTTAGTGATTGTCCTTAGTGGAACAGGTGGTACCATCTCCCATTGCTTTTGTGCCGTCTATCACATAGTCACTTCCTTGATGTATGGTTGATGAATACACAGTTAAAGAGTTAAAGTGCACAGTTGTTCAAGGCATCATAACTCTTACATAATAGAGTGGATCTATCAGCCTAATCTTTTCACGGCCTTTCATAGTTTTAACGGAAGAACACGAGCCAAGTTAGTGTGGAGTATGTATGAATTACCTAAATATTTTAATAGCTGTATCTTCATATCTAATGGATCATCGTAGCCATATTTTATTAGCATTTTCTTACAAAAATCCTTCATCCACTGGACCTTTCTTGTCTTTCCTCTCATTTATAAACTGAAGGCGTTAATACCTACCTCAAGGAATGCTTCTGGATAAAGTGAAATACAAAATCACATGTAAAGTGAGTAAATAAGAACAATGATGATCTGTATGCGAAGCTTCCTCTCACTCTGGGGCATTTGAAAGTATCTCTTCAGCCTGCTTACTAGATTGCAAAACTTGAGAATGAAAACACACTTCAAATCTTTGGGTTCTTACCAGCCATTGTCCAACAGTATTAGAATGCGGATGCTACAGAGCATCTCAAATTTAAACTGTTAGTAATTTGATTTTGTTAACTCAGTTTACACAGCTCGGGGTCTAACTACACAAAGATAAGGGAGTGTTTGGGGATAAATTAACAAATGCTGTATACACTGGTGTAAGGAAAATGGTCTCAATATGAAAAACCATTCCCAGTTACTCAACAAATACTGACTAAAAACCTACTGTGGGCCTGGCGCTGTGCTGGCCTGAGTTTCAGCTTAGCAACACTTTGCGAAAGCTTGGTTCCCAAAGGGTTGTGGATTGCAGTGAATTCCTCCTATAAATGTCTCCTGCTTTGAGGGAACACCAAAGTTTTTTGTTTTGGGAGGGGGGGATTGAAACAACGTGGTCCTTAGTATGTTTTCCAAAGATAGGACAACTATGTGAAAACATTTCCTGACGGTTGTTTAAAAAAAAAAAGAAATCCTATCGCTTAGCTATTAATAGCCGTGCAATAGTTACTTACCGAGCGATCCCTGGAATAGAACAATTGGACTTCTATCGCTGATTCTTCCTTAGGATGCTGAAATGCTACCAAAAGCTTCATAGGGTGAACCACAGGGTGATTCTTGGCATTGATGTATAGTGCTCCGTTCTACTCCATATTGGAGACAGCAACTTTCAAGGGTTTTGAGCAGCAGACAGACATGTCACTGTCCAGATTAGCACTCTGGGCTTGCCCACCTGGCTGTGCTTGTAGCTGGCAGCTGGGTGGTACTCCTGCTGCCCTGCTACCCTGCTAGCTACATCAGCGGGCATCGCACCGTGGTGCTCACTTAGCCCCAAAAAGGCAGTGAGGCAAATAAAGGGATTAAATTGTGAAAGTGTAATGTAATAATTAGGGTGGTAATTGTAAGGGAGATTGGAACAGCCCCTCCTTCCTCTGGCCAACTAGTGATAGCGATTCAACTCGGAAGATGTTGAAAGTGGCCGAATCTGTTGCATCATCACAGACGCTTAGTCTGATGTGGAAGGGACCATGGAATCCATTCTCATGCCTTGAGGCAGCATTGCGGCCAAACTCTCCTTGACCGATGGTAGTCTTTCCCTTCCCTCCCTTAAAGCTCTCCCACAGAATGAGAAAGGATTATGCAACTGCCCTTAAGAACAAGTCTTTCCACCATCTCATAGCCCCTATGGCCAAGGGGGTAAGTGTGGCTTCCTGGTTCTGCTCTCATTGACTTGACTAGGGGACATAGATATTCAAAGCCATAGTCATGGGAATATTTCCTCTTTAGAATTTTTATTTCTTGTTATAACAATTTAAGAGTGCTTATCCAAAATGTAATACATTTTAATAGTTGGACAAAATACTTCTTAAATTTAGAGCCAAAAGAACATATATCCAGAGCACCTCTTGCGAAAAGTAATGAGAATTGTTCTTTTCAAAGCTGAATGTGATATTCCAGTTGCGAAAGGCAATTAATCATAAATTTCAGTGAAAGTCAACCAGAAAGGCATATTTTACTTATTGACTGTTTCTAAGTTATCATTGGAAAACTATTGAATTAGGTCAACACTTAGGTAATAGTCAAAGTTTTGGAAGGTTTTAGTTTGCTTTTTTCTTTCTTTTCTTTTTTTTTCTGACCAAAAACGTTTTAGAGGATTTTGACTGTTCTATCATCCCACAGGGTTACAATGGCAGCAATGATTTCATTGTCGTTTTCTAGGCTTATTAGTTTTTGTGTGTGATATCGTTATTCTGATTTTTTTTTCTAATTCTAGTTTGGCCTTAATTCATAAATGAGTGGGAACTTCTGTGGGGGGTTTTTTGTTTGTTTTTTTTTTGTTTTTGGTACCTTCTCATTAAGAGTTTTCCCTGGATTCTTGTTAAGGAGGTAAGAGAAGGAAAATATCTTTATATTCCCCCAAAGTCAATATATGTTTCATTATTTAATTCACAAAACACTAACCCCCTGAAGTTTTTATGCCTATATAAGAGTATGGAAAATAAATTGTATATATTTATTAACATAACCATTTCAACCATTCATTCTTGTGCTAGAAATATGGCATTCCCCCCCTCTTTTATAAAGAGGATATTATGGGCTTCCCTGGTGGCGCAGTGGTTGAGAGTCCGCCTGCCGATGCAGGGGACACGGGTTCGTGCCCCGGTCCAGGAGGATCCCACATGCCGTGGAGTGGCTGGGCCCGCAAGCCATGGCCGCTGAGCCTGCGCGTCCGGAGCCTGTGCTCCGCAACGGGAGAGGCCACAACAGTGAGAGGCCCGCGTACCAAAAAAAAAAAAAAAAAAAAAAAAAAGAGGATATTATATATTTTAAAAATAGGGGATTATTTTTTTTA